GGTGATGGGTGCTGTGGGACATGGAGGTGATGGGGGGATATGGAGGTGATGGGTGCTGTGGGACAGGGGGGACGTGGAGGTGATGGGGGAACATGGAGGTGATGGGTGCTGTGGGACAGGGGGGACGTGGAGGTGATGGGGGAACATGGAGGTGATGGGTGCTGTGGGACAGGGCGGGTGCAGAAGTGACAGGGAGAAGCAGAGGTGACGACAGGGGGGATGAGGAAGTGACGGGGACATGGAGGTGGGAGGAGGAACATGGAGGTGACAGGGGGACATGGATGTGACAGGGAGATGTGGAGGTCACAGGAACTTGTGCAGGTGACACGGGGACGCGGAGCTGACACGGGGACGTGGAGGTGACACGGGGACATGGAGGCGACGGGAGGGCTGTGCAGGTGACACAAGGATGTGGAGGTGACATGGGGACGTGGAGGCGACACGGGGACGTGGAGGTGACACCGGGACGCAGGTGACGGGAGGGCTGTGCAGGTGACACGGGGACGTGGAGGCGACACGGGGACGTGGAGGTGACACCAGGACACAGGTGACGGGAGGGCTGTGGAGGTGACACGGGGGTGTGTGGAGATGACAAGCAGTGAGGGACGAAGGGGGACACGGGCGTGATGAAGGGTCACAGGCAGTGCAGGACAGGGGACACAGAAGTCACAGGGGGACCTGGAGGTGACGAGGGGGATGGGGAGGTGGGGACAGGGAGACACGGTCTCACCGCAGCTGCCGGTGGCCCTTGTCCTTGTAGGGCACCAGGTCCAGCACGGTGCTCTGCCACGTCCTGGCCAGGTCCTCGAGCGCCTGCGGAGGGCACGGACATGAGTGGGGTGGCAGGGACACGCGTGGGAGAAGGGGACATGTGGGGGACAGGTGGGACACATGGGGGGCAGGTGGGACACATGTGGGGAGGGTGGGACACATGTGGGTGGAGGGGACACGTGGGACACTTGTGGGGAGGGTGGGACACGTGTGGGTGGAGGGGACACATGGGACACATGTGGGGAGGGTGGGACACATGTGGGTGGAGGGGACACGTGGGACACTTGTGGGGAGGGTGGGACACGTGTGGGTGGAGGGGATACATGGGGTCACATGCGTGGCCACACAGGGACCCGTGGGTGACACCCCTGTGTGCACAGGAGGGCACAGCTGTGTGTGGCCACGCGGGTACCCATGGGTGATGCCCCCATGTGCACAGCAGGTCACAGCCGCACGTGGCCACGCAGGGAGCCACGGGTGACACCCCCACGTGCACAGGGGGCAGGCACCCCATAGGTGACACCCCCACGTGCACAGGGCACAGGGACCAGTGGGTGACGCCCCCACGTGCACAGGAGGGCAGGGACCCACGGGTGACACCCCTGTGTGCACAGCCGCGCATGGCCACGCAGGGACCCGCGGGTGCCACCCCCACGTGCACAGGGCGCAGGGACCCGCGGGGGACACCCCCACGTGCACAGGGGGCAGGGACCCACGGGTGACGCCCCCACGTGCACAGGA